CAAGAGAGTATGGTGGAAGTGACAGTGTAGACTTTTGAGTCTTTGTCTCAACAGGCCTTGCAGCTTCCACTCTTGCTCCCCTGGAACACTGCTGTGCTGTGAACAAGCCCAGGCTAGCCTCCTTTATGAGACACCGCAAGGCAAGAGAGACTATAAAGAGATGGAGAGAGGGGCTTAGCCATCTCTGCAATTATAGCAACTCCAACTGAGGGTCCAGACATATGAGTGAGGCCATCTTGCCAGTCCCTGGGCATCCCTCCAGTTGACTGCAAATGCATGAATGGGCCCAGAAGACACAAGGTCAAGCAGAAGAACTGCCCCTATGAGCTCAGCCAAACTGCCAGTGTACATGTTTGTGAGCAAATAAATAATTGTTGTTCTAAGTCTTGGGCAATTTATTTAACTTTCTCAGTCCGTATTATTTCATCTGAAAAAAAAGTACTATCTATCTTATAGGGATATTGTGGAGATTCAATGAATAACTTATGAAAAATATGTGGCAATGTCTATATTTTCTAAGGACTCAATAAATGGTAGTTAATGTACATAATAGCAATAATTATAACAACAACAACATACAATATTAAACAACTTTTTCAAGATAGTGACTTAGAAGCAGCTTTGGACAGAGACTGGAATCTCCCAGGCCAGATTTCTTTTCCCTAGACTGCATGGCATCTCCATGCTTGTCTGCCTTTCTCTAGGGTATTTATTTACTTGAAGAAAAAAAAAAACACCATATTTTAAAATCAATATTTCATTTATGTTAATGTTAGACTAATTTATTCCATGGTGTCCCTGAGGGTAGAACTATAAAACATGGATGGAACTTATGAGAAGGAGCTTTTGGGGTCAATAAAAAGAAGATATTTCTAAAATAGACCTTTGTATAATTGTAACACGTTGCATTGCCTTAAAGATCTAGCATATTTCTTGTCACTAAAAGCGTTCAAAAACAGGTTACATTTCTTCTGTCATATCCATCAACACATGAGCTTAGACAGTTGGCCAGATAATTTTTATTTCCCTTCTTAAAATTGTGTGATACTTATTCTGTTTTCTCAAAAATTCTGGGCTTACTAGGCAACCTAAGTCTTAAAACACAATCCATGCATTTAGAAATTCCACTGACATTTTCATTTTGAGACATGTATAGATGCAGTATTAGAAAGCAACAAAGAATATGAAGATTTTAAATTGAACTTTTCTCCTTTGATTAAGATCAATACTCAGAACAGTCCATTTTTTATTTGTTAACTGTCTGTTTGTACGGCTGGAAAAAAAAAAAAGAAACTCAATATGGCGTTGCCAAAAAATCTATTTATTCATTTATTAACTTCTTTTTCCAACAAATATTTATGAAACATTTATCAAACTCTTCCTATACACTAAGCATTGTGCTATGTGGTATCAGGTTGTATTTCATGGGAACAGCTACAACCAATACTTGGACTCCAAAGAAATAATAAAGAATCATAAATATTTCTCAGCTTTTAGTTTTCAGTATTTTATGTTGAAAGACATTGTAAATATGTGTACCAATTTATCTAATCATTTGATACTTATTACAACAAAATAAATGCATTCAAGACATTTTCTTGCTAAAAATCAATCACAAGTTTACTCTAATTATCTATAAATAGCTTATATATGAAGTGAACTTTTGCTTCGGTTTGAATTTGATTTAGGATAGTAATAAACACTTCTGAGTTTATCTATGTAGTAATAAAGATATAAGCAACTTGTAGTTAAATATTATATATTTGTAGTATATAATATGTAGCTAGCCCAGAGAAAAAAAATTTATGATATAATTAACAAAAACGAAATGTTTTATCTATTTCCTATCAGTATAATGTGAACACAGGTCAGGAGGTTATTTAATGTGAAGTCTAAACAATTTCTAATATTACCAGTTAAACAGAGCATTTCTTTGGTTCATCATGATAGCTGAGCTTTAATTAAGCTTGACAAATTGATTTCTCTCCCACTTTTTTAATTTAAACTTGAACTCAATATATATTTATATAGAAAAATAATTTATAATTTTATTTTTAAATATCATTTTTATGATGATATTTTAAATGTCATCTTTATAAAACATGAACAGAATCTCAAGAAACGCAATCTAGGGATTTTAGGACATTCTAAAAAAAGACTGATTTGGGAAGGAAGAATGTAGTTAATAAAAGCCATCTTTGATGTTATTTAACACAAAAGCAAACATAGATCTTTTAATATTTGACATTAAAAATCTGATCATTTGCCTCCCTAAAGAAAGCACGTACAGCTTTTATACAGCCTGCACAGTAAAGAATAATAATATTTCTGTTTACTGAGATATCAACTGGCATTTCACTGTAAGTCAATGGTCTACCGTTGCTACAGCGTATTAGACCTCAATCTGGCATCTACAAATGTCAAGAGTATAAAAAAAAAAAAAGGATAAAAATCAAAAGCATGTTCTGAACTCTCAAAAAAATAAAAAAAGGGAAACAAAGTTCACCTAAACATATTTGCTGCAGAAATCAGTGCAATATTCAGCTGTCAATCTAGAAAAACAACGAGGGAGCCACACTGTCAGTAGGACAGGATAATAAAATTTCTAGCAGATGTTCAGGCAGGGCTCTAATTTTTACTGAACTCCCTTGGTAAGCATTTAATTTCTTTATCATATGCAGGCTCGGCAAATTGTACTTCATCAAAACTGTATTGTGAAAGATTAATATTTCATATGATAACAAAACTCCATGGAATAACCTTTGTCATATTAAGAGCATCCAAATTTCAAATGTCAAGATTCTGAATTTTAATATATTTTAAGTAGATTCTTGAATTCGTGTGATAAATTATAATAAAGCTAATCCAAATCGGTACACTACAATGTCACACAAATGTATAGTACATACAATATTTCAATAGATGTCTTTAGTAAAAGGCTGTGGGAAAAGCATGTGTTTATACTGCCGAGTTGTATTCTACAATATTTCATCAATAAGAAAGCATAGAAGTTCATAAGACAATTATATATCCACAATAGGTTTAGTCACTAATTAGGGACAATATCAGAAAACAAACAAACAAAAAAGTAGATCTCTATGAGGCAAACTGATTACTTTGCAAAATCATGTATGGGAAATAATCATTCTTGAAAATGGCATTCTATAAGCCCAAGGTGGCGTCATTATTTATGTCATTACAATCTGCACAAATACATTTAAAATAGTCTTTGCACAAATATTTTGTTGTACACATCATCAAGGTAAGTCAAATAGAGCTTCTAAAACTCCCCCAACATTATGTTTTATGTGCCAGATTTAATTTACATTTGTTCATAACTCTCCTTTTGAACTAGCATCACAGACTTCTGAATTGATAGATTAAATTCAAATTGGAAGTTTAGAAGGAAGTTAGTTTCCACATTTATTTCTGCTGGTGATCATAAGACAGGCAACCGCTCCTAGGTTACTGAGAGAGACAGCATCACAAATCAATGCATGTCACCAACAGAGTAAAGACAGATGTCTCTGATTAGTCAGAATTCAATTTTTGCAAGCAGAGAAAACAGCAAATTCAAAGCCAACACTTTTTTTCTACAATTCTTCACTTGAACCTGATTAGCCACCTATTTCTGTTAACATATGGAATTTTTAAAATAGTATAACTAACGTCGTCATTAAATACTATCAGAGACTCAGATTTTCTCAATGGATTAAACATTTGATTACAGCTTCCGAGTAATTCTTAAAGGATGAATTGAAACAAAGACAAATATACTATCAATATTCTACAAGATTGTAAACAATTGATTAACAATACTCTAAAATTGAATCCAGTAGGGTCTATTTATTTTTACACTTTTTTTAACCAAATTATTTCTAAATAGCCAATTTATTTGAAAAAGAACCCCCCTTTAGCTATTTAAATACAAAAATATTTAAGAAGTATTATTTTTTCATGCGCTGGTTTTTCTCACTTTTGAGGATTGTCTAGATTTTCTTGACCACATTTATACATAGCATCTTGTAAAGCTGTCAGAATAAGACAGCCATAATGTTTTAGCCATAATAATGCCAGCTATTGATCCTAGTAAGAGGAGAAAGAAGGAAAGAATGTGCTTAATGGGGCATATTTGTTCTCTATTATTTTCTTTGCCTAAGGATAAGGCTGATTTAAATAATGACACACTTTCCTTAGTCACTAGATTCACACATGCTTATACATTAATTATTACTAACTACTATTTAGTACTAAATACATCAATAGGTTTAGCATTTAAAATTTTATCAATAAAAGATTTAAGAATGTTAAATTCTGCAGCTCTTTTCTAATGCAAAACCATATAAGGATGCAACCCTCTACTGCATAAATCATCCTACTTTGAAAACATGCATCTATATGCTTTGTGTACTTTAAAGAATCAATCTCAACTTTAACATGTAGCTTATTTTCTAAGTATGTCCACTTAACGGTGTGAGTAGAAAGTCATAATGTCAAATCAAACTCAGATATATGTATTTTGGGAAAAGTTTCTGTCTTTAAAAATTCAAGAAGAATCTTATTTATTACCAGCACCAATGAGTTATACTGAGTGATTCTTTTTGACACAAATTAGATCCCAGGATTATGTGCAAACCAATCCATTGTCCCCCTAACTTTCAGTCGAGGCATATTTCCTCATTCACAAACATCCAGAATCACGAAACAGTTAATAATGCCAAAATAAGAATTCAGGAGTTTGTGATTATTAAATAGTCACTTTTGTAATATTTACATGTTTGATGTTTCCTAGACAAACCAAAGCGAGAAATATATGACCTCTCTCTCAAACGGACAGAAGGAATGGAAGGAAAGTAAAGACTAATTTGTAATAATAGGTCTTGTCCAGCAGTTTAATAACTATTATTTCCTGGTCAGAAACATCTTTCCACTATAATATTTATGCGCTAATTAAAATATATGATAGACATTTAACCATGACTTCAAAAATATTTTCTTACCTTATCAAGAGAGAAAGTTTTGGTTAGGGCAAAACCCCATCCAGCTTCAAAAGCTCTTCGAATCATTGATGCACTGGTGGCTGGAGTTGCACTAGCAAGACCAAAAGGATTTATAAACTTCAATCCAGCCATCTCCACGCTAATGTCCACAAGATCAATAGGAGTGTAAAAGAGGGGTAGTTCAGCCTTGGCAGCAACTGAAGCTCCATGTTGTGACTGCAAAACCAAACAGCCAATAATTGTTTTTGTATCATATCTGATTTTTCCATATAATCTTTTACAAAAATCACTCCAACACAGCATTTGAATTAATATAGATTTATCAGTCTGTTCACAATGATGAAAACTGTCAAAAAATCAGTTAGCAGTGAACCAAATTCATATAATATCATTCTTTTCTAATTTAAAAGACAGCATAGAGAGTATTAACACAAATAAAATCAATTAAATAAACAAACAAAAAAACTCTATTTAAAACATACTGAGATTCAAACACAAAAGGGAATAATTTTAGAATTTATCTCCCTGGTCCCATTAACCCAGCCTTTTTGTACTTAATTTGTGGAAATGTCTTTAGTGCTCAGAGATATGGGCAACAGCAAGTCCGGAGGCCTAAATTCAATTTCCTGTAATCTCACTACTGCTTATGAGATTTTAGGAAATCCACCTAACATGTCCATGTCTTTTCTCCTCTACCATTTCCAGTATAGCAGCAGGAATGCTAGTTGCCTAATTTCCTACCTCATAGGGATACTGAAAAATGCAGGCGATCATAAGCCACAGGGAGACATCTAATTTGGAAAGTGGATAATGTACTCATGTGCATGAAGGGCGTTTGTTTTTTCAGAAATCAAACAGGTACCAAACAGTTAACATCAAAATCTTCAATTGGCTCTCAAAACTGTAAATTTACCTTTGTTAAAAAATCATTGTAGTAATGCTATGTCACATTACCAGAAAGATTTAATAAAAATATTTACGCAAAGTGCATCATACGCTGAAGCACAGTAGGTGCTTGCTAAATGTTGTCTCTCCTTCTGACTGGGGACTTTATTAAAGATCTCATCAGGCCTTTTGTTTGTAAAGTCTTGTCTCTGTCTCTGTCTCTCTCCTTCTCTCCCTTCTGAATCACTTTCTCTCTGTTTATCTCTGAAAGACAAATATTACTGACAAATATAAAAAGGATGAATTTTCTCAGCCAAAGTGGTTACTGAATGGACAGGGCTAGTTAATTCCAAAGTAAGAACGCCTTTCTTTTGTGAATCATCACTCAAAAGAAAAGTTATTTGAGCAGAACTTTAATTTTACAGGAGTGTGTCTTGTGTAGATAAACATTGCCATGACTTGCATAGAAATTATTTCTGGCCCTCCACCATTTACAATGCAAAGCAAAGTTCACTTAATATGTAAAAAGAATCAAACTTGTCAATTGAAAGACTAATGTGTCTCTGGTACCTGCAAAGAGGTGCTTGATGGCATCTGGGCTTCAGTTATGGCAGGCACCTGCTGCCAGGAATGTTCTGGGTTTCAAAGCACATTTCTGAATATTAGTCAGTCCTGTTGTGAACATAATTTCTCTTGTCCTCATGTGGGATTGCAATACTATTAAAAGGATTATTAGCAAAGACTATAATGTTCTAATAGCTATAATGCATAATATAGGGAAGTAGGGGATAACTTGAGGCATGTTAATTTGAGGGGTGTGTGTGTGTGTGTGTATGTGTGTGTGCGTGTGTGTGTGTGTGTATGTACAGGGATGGATGAGGAAGAAAAACACTTTTGATGAGATTTTCTTAGCTCTGCATAATCATAATTTAAATAGAATCTAGCAAGTTTTATGTTAGACTAGGGAAGAATTTCCTGAGACCAGGGGTTGCTTAATACTGGGAAAAACTTCTAAGCACCTTTCATTTATGAGGAATCTTAGAAATTTTAGGCAACCTTGTGTCAGACGCTGACAGCAGAAATACACATGGCTCCATATTCTTTACTAGGTGAAGTGAATGACACTGTAAGTTTTCTTCTCTTTTTACAGCTTTGTATTGAACTATCTAATCTCTTCAGTCTTACAGATGAATTTTAATTTAATAATTATAGCTATATATTGCATTATGCAATAGCCCAAGGAGGCAGCTATATACGTGTAGTTCAATTTGCAGTTCTCAATTTATGCAGTTTTAAATAAATCAAGTATTGCTCTGAAATTCTTAAGAAGGTTGCTGCCATAATATTTAGAATGGAAATGATTTGGACAAACTTCACAAAATTTTCCTTAAGCTTCAAAACAAAAACAAAAAGCAAACAAACTAAAGCAAACAAATAAGAAAAAATAAACAGACACACAAAACTCCTTCAAATGAGAAGTATAGCTTCTTATAAAATATATATTTTCCTTTATTGACGAAAATATTTCTGATATGTATGTGTGTATGATGTAACTGAAAATCTTTACTTGTAATAGGCAGTCTTTTTTCATACTGTGCATACACAGGGTTATTTTTTTGTCTTTGTGACTTTTGCCACAGTGTGGTGCTACAGCAACCAGTCTGTTCAAGCTCACAATATAATCATGCCCTAATGTATGCCTCCTTGTGTGAAGTTTAAAAGCCTGTTCTCCTCCGCACCCTTGCTCAGGGCTCAAGCATCTCAAATTTCACCACAAGGCTAATTCCTCCCAAATCCCATTTGCAACCTCCAAACTCAGATTTCCAAGAGACTTCAAGACTTTTGGATGTAGATGCTTTGCCATTAATTCAAACTCAACTCCTTCAAAATGTATCTCATCATACTCCCTTCTAAAGAATGTTACCCAGATTTTCAATTTCAGACAATAGTATTTTTCCAGTCATCCAACAGTGTTAGTAAATAACAGATATAAGAAACAACCTAGATATTGAACAATGAGGATTTGTTCAGAGGAATGTAATGGTGGCAACAGAAATGATACAGAAAAAATGAGGATTTGATACTAGTGCTCAGAGGAATGTAATGGTGGCAACAGAAATGATACAGAAAAAGAATGTGTTGACATGAAAGAATGTTTATCCTGTATTAAGTGAAAAAATAGTGGGTTAACACTGTATGTAAATCCAAAAGTTTTCACTAAATATACACATGTATATATATTTTGCTATATGTCTCTCTGTTTATCCATCTATCATAAAGAGTAAACACCAATATGTTAACCAGAGTTACCTCTCAGAATTGAGATTTTTAGATGACCTTCAATTTTTAAATTTTTGCTTATTGTATTTTTCACATTTTCAATAAATGACCATAAATTAATTTATATAAAACAAACAGAATTAAAGGTATGCTAAAATAATTTCTTAAAAGAAGCAATGAAAACTCATTAAGTGAAGACCAAGGTAAACAGACTACTCTGTAGTTTCTTCCACGGATGGTCCCAAATCAATCTTTTCAGCTATATTTATTATTATTCATAAAAGTTAAAAATATTTAGAACTGGGGGCTGACCCTGTGGTTAAGTGGTTAAAGTTCCACATGCTCCGCTTTGGCAGCCTGGGTTTGCAGGTTTGGATCCTGGGCACAGACCTACTCCACTCATCAGCCATGCTGTGGAGGTATCCCACATATAAAGTGGAGGAAGATTGGCACAGATGTTAGCTCAGGGCTAATCAAAAAAAAAAAAAAAAAAAAAAAAAATTTAGAACTGGAACAAACAAAGGGATGATCTACCTTAAAAGCTCTATTTTATAAAGAGAGAACTAAGGCCAGAGGAGGTTGAGTAACTCTAAGTTACTCAGTGAGTGGTAAAGTCACAATAAAATATATATTTTCCTGTCTTGTTGGCTAATCTTCTTTCTGCTACCTTAAGCCATCTCTCAGAAATAAAATGCTTCAATTATTCCTCCTCAAAAATACTCTGTGTCCCCTGTCTCTGCACCTTTCACATTCCATATCTCTCTTCTTCACCTACTGAAAAATTACCCATTCTGAGGGCCTCCTTGGTCACTATAGACACATAATTGTATCTGTGCTATTCCTAGGGCATAAAAAATAACATTTTTGTAATTTATTAATTACATTGAAAATATTTGGTTATGTGTTTAAGCACTAACATGCTTAAACTTCTCCATATCTTCAGGAAACCAGGTTCAAATTTCTTGGCATGGCATATGGTGATTGTTTCCATAACATAGTGTCCATCACTGAGTTAGACTCAATTCCTAACATTCATATAGAACTATTTTTATTCATTTATATATTCAGCAGGTATTTATTGAGAACTTCAGGATACAAAGGGGAACAAAACAGCCAAGGTCCTTAGAGCTTACATACAGAAGAATGTAAATAAAGCTAACAACCAACCAAACACAAAATGAAAACACAGATAGTTCATCACCCTGCTACATGTCTCCATGCATTATCTCATTATTTCCACTGGCCTCAAATACAATCCAAGACTTTCTTCATCCACTGAACTCCTAGTCATCCTTCCAAACTCAACTCATTCATGCAAGCATATGCTTCCTGGGGCATTTCCTAAATATAATCCATAGCTTTGTCTGATGTAACTGACTCTTCTTGGCTATATTACAATTTAAAATGTGCCTTTACCTCGGCAGTCATCATACTGGCCTGTACCTGTTAATTTTCTTTTCAAACAGAACATAAGCTTCTTGAGGGCAGTGACCTTATCCTCTTCAAATTAGTATCTCTATTAGAATTAGAAAGATATGTAATACATATATATAATATGTAGATATACTATATAATATAGTATATATATTTTATATCTACATATTATATATACATATATGCATATAACAGTTACTCTTAAAGGCAACTCTGTTCTCTGTAGAGACAAAGATAAATAAATTCACTTTTCCACATGGCAGCCCTCAAATATGTTTTAAAGAACTATAATATTCTTTCTATATCTCCTTTTTTCCCTAGGCTAAACATTTATATCTTGATAACCATTTTTAATACAACATGCTTTTCAATATTCTAGTTGTCTTTTGTTGGATATCTCATTTACCTTTTATGCTCTGAAACTGAGGAACCTGCTAACATAGTTGAAAGGGTTAGATACAAGAACTTGAATTTTCTTGCAATTTCCCCCTTCCCTTCCCTTTCTAAAGCAGGAACTGCCTTATAATCTGGACATCACCATGATCTCTCTGGTTGTTCAAAATACACTTAATGGAAACACCAAAAGTAAACCACAGAATCAAAAGAGGCTAAAGTAA